CCCCCCCTTTCTGACGCCCCCCCTGCTCTTCAAGTGGATACTCCAAACTCCTCCCTCCCTTCCTGTGTCTGTACAAACTAAGTCAAATTTAAAAATCTGGACTCCCCTTTCCCTTTTCTCTCTACCTCTCTCTGTCTTTCTCTCCAAACACACACATTCATGCACACACTGAGTGTTCCAAGATGTGAACTAATCCAGTGATTTTAAGAGTTGTGTGGGACGATTGTTTAGTTTTGTGCCTTGCAGTAATTATATAGGAAGTTGTGGCTATAGAATGCTGTTACAGTTCTTCTTGGCGAGTAAGTTTACCAAGGCAGAGAAAGCAAAATGACAAAGAGCGAGAGTTTCTGAGGGCAAAGGGGGAAGAAAAGAAAAAGAGATGAACACATAAAACTGAAAATCAACTTTGTCAAAATAATTTCTACCTTTCGTCCTTCTGGGGTCCTTATACATTGTCTACATGCAGCTGTTTTTCCATTTTATTCTTTGCAACCTTTTCTTTAATTGTAGCACACCATGCTATGAAATAGGGCTGCATGATCCGTTTCTATACACTGTCCAGAAAGTGTCAAAAGGTGTCTGAAAAGCCCAAAGGCATCATTGTCAGATTGCTTGTTTTGTCTGACCGACATTAAAAGGCTGAAGTTATGCAAGATATAATCACAAACTGTGTATAAAACATAGACATAGCCACCGCAGTGGCACCTGTTTGTTTTGCGAACTCTTATTCTGAAGCCTCAGTTTTAGCATTGTGGCTATCTTGGTGTTTGGAAGCAAGGAGAGGCTTTATTTTGGCAAGCAGGTGGAGTGTTGGGTTATCTGGAAGAGCTGAGGACGCTTGGTTAGCACACCGCATCTGTAGACTGCATCCATGCATTGCACAGACACCTGCAAATCTGTGCATTAAATTCTAGACGTATTTATATGCTAGTTGGCACTAAATCTTGAGCAGAAGAGGATGGTGGCTAAAGGTACCTCTCACCACCTGTTAAGGTAGCCCAGCCTCTAATGATGCATTGCAATCAATCCCAGTCAGTTCGTGGCACTGAGCACAGCTCGTCTGCCACCCATCTCTTTGCAATGGTTGACTGTAGTTGATTGGAGGAATTTCTGAATTTTGTTTCAGATTAGAGGGTCTGTCTAGTAATAGAACGAATAGACTGACTCCATCTTACTGCCTTTTTGATCAGTCTTTGACAGAATCAGAATAGATTTGACACGTTTGCCTAAAAATATAAATATTTAAACTGTTACTAAAAGTTGCTGATTCTCTTTCTAAAGAAAGGAAAGAAGGTAGAAAAAAGAAGAAAAGGTTCCAGTAACCCAGCTCTAACTAAATCCTCCCAGCAGCGTGGCTCTCTGGCTCCCTGTGTTCTGCTTTGTCATGAATTCACAGCGTTCCTCTTGTTTGGGTTGTTTTTCTGGATCCGAACTGGCCCAATCAGGCCCTATTTGGAGCGTGGGGCGATGGGTGAATCGAACCCATCCCCACCCCCTTTCCCTGCTCCCTCTTTCCCCAAAAGAGAAACATGCAGCTCTGTGTTCTCCACTTTCCAAAATACAGCTGCTATGCAACAAAGTGTGCAAAAACAGCCAGGTGCCTGCCAGACATGCACAGATACCGCTCGCCTTCTCGCTCTGGGGGAGGCGAGCCTTCCTCAATGACTGTGTTTGTTGCGGCATTTTGTTTTGTTTATGAGTAAAACACTTGATTTCTCTAACGTGAACATATGATTTCTTTTGACAGCTTCTTCTCCACTTACTCACGCATGTACATAAACACACTTGGGCTGGTATACGTTTTGTTTTTTATACACAGGCTTCAGCCCTGCAGTTTTATGAATGGGTTGGTTGTGAAAGACTGGCTGAGGCAGCACATTGAGTTAGGGGGAGTAAACCTTCATTCATGACATTAACATGAGTTATTCCTCTACCAAAACACCTATAGAAGTACAGGCTTCTTTTCTGCCAGTCTTTGACTGACTACAGTGATACAGAGAGTTTGTTTTGCTAGGTCTTTATTTGTATTTTCTCTGTTTGGTGGAGTTAGAGCCACATGTTTGGTTTAAATGTCCTAAATTCAGTTAAGATGGGACCTCTTAAATATACATAAAAGTTACTTTAGGTTTACAACATCTTTTAGTCATGTTTTAGGCAATCAAATCCACTGAAAAGGAGTTTGTAATGTCTACAATGTAGAGGAAAAGGCGTTTAATAACTTCCAGTGGGGAAGTTAAAGCTGAACTCCTGTGTTGATTCAGAACAGCCCTGTAAAAGCCAGGGGGCCATGGGGGATTTGAGCCAGGCAGCATAGCCCGCATGTCAGCAGCATAGTTCTGTGAATGGACAGCAGTATGTGTTTTATTACAGGAGAGTGATGGGAGGTGTATGTGCAAGGAAAAAAGGGTTGATGGGATGCTCATATGCATGCCTGTCTCTTTCTGTGTTATTTACATGAACAGCTCCGCTTTCTGCAGCTGGAATTTTTCTCTTTTAAAGGAGAGCACAGACCAAAGTGGGGAACAGATGCCGTGGAAGAGGGTGAGGCCATAAAAACAACAGTAGCTTAACTTGATTGAATAATAATAGGAAGAAGCAGCAATTGCAATGACAAAGGCCAGTTTGAACATGTTGGCTGTTATGATAATCAGTGTTTATTACAACTTTAGTGTCAATTTGGATTTGACAATTAGGCATCTCTTTTAAGTACACGTTACACGTTCCATAAAAGCTAAAAATAAGTCGGTGCTTACTTTTGGCTTCACACGAGACTCTGTTACTTCCCCTTATTCCCTGGACCTTTAGAGGGGAACGTAATAAGGCATATGATTCTTGCTTCGGGTGCGAGATGTCCCGGACGAGCCCCCACTTGTTACGTTCCCCCCTAAAGGTCCTGGGGATGAGGGGAAGTAACAAAAAGTGTCCGGATTGAAAAAGGAGAGAAAGAGGCAAGCTGGTTTAATTAAAAGACTTTATTAACGTTTCAACAATACTAATTCAAAGAGACGGTCAAGCCGCTATCACTCTTTTAAAGGGAAACACAACAAAACTCAGTAGTTGGTCAAAGCCCTGGAAAGTAAGTAAAACAAAATGTTAATCACCAAACACACTCCTCTCCACAGAGCAGGAGTAATCGAGCAGGATGCACACACAGTTCACCAGCTGAGCCTAGAGCTCACCTTTCTCTGGCCTTAAGTACCTCTAACTGCTGATTGGAGTCAGCTGTACCCAACGGACGGCACTTAGGCAGAAGAGACCACACCCACACCAGGGCAATTTCAACAGACTCGAACCCCATTCACCTTAGTGGAAGTCATCTGGAGACTTTACTCACCCAATCCGTATGAAAAGACCTGTGATTGGCCCGAAAACGGAACCCAGGGCAGGTGCAGGAGTCTAGTTTACCTTCAGTCCACTTCAATCACAATATCCTGAAAGTTTATAGGGTTTTGCTCCAGTTAGGCATAAAAACAAGTTGTAAGACACTTAAAATAAGAGAGAACTGGTAAAATGACCATCTACAGTACATATACAGTTGTCCAGTATAATTACAATTATTCCCAACATTTTCAGCTCCACTTCTTCCCCCTCTTCTTCAACCCTTTCTGAAGTCATAATCACTTTAAGTTTGTAACTTTCCCAAACAGAAGTTTTGACTGTCCATGACAGAACTCAGACTTTAGCACTGTTTATACTTTACTTAACCCAACCCCATCTAAACCATTATTTGGTTTTGTCCCTTGTATGGTGGCCATCATCATGTGTACTGCAGCGCTCAACATTTTTAGACATTACCCAGCTTAGCTGCTTGAGAGAACACAAAGCTCCAACACAGTCAGTTGAGGCGTTAAGGAGTCTTTAACCTGCCGGCTTGTTCGCACAAAGTACTTGTTATGCCTAACTGAGCCCATGTGAGAATAACTTGGACAGTAAAAGTCTGGTGAATTCCCAGTAAGCAAGTGGGCATCATGTGCTCCCTTCTGCACAGGCTACCCAGACAGCACCGTCGTCTAAGAGACAAAGCCTGACACTATGTGCTAGAACTGAGAGGGGGCAACTTCAGCTTTCACAGCTCATGTAAGAAAATGACTGATATTTCGCAATTTTGCAAACTAAATTTGTCTTTAGAACCTCCTGTGTTGTCATTCCTCTCTAATTTTTTTTTCCTTGTACCAATGCTGCTGCCTTTCCATCAGTTTTACGATAAAACAAAGAAATTAGTAGATGCATGGCCAACCAGACAGTTCAGCAAACACAGTTATCAACACACCAAACACGTCCAGCTTCTGAGCAGAGGAGGTCAATGCATAGTAACCTGCTGACACACGGCAGAAGGTGTGTAGCGTGAGCTGAGAGCTGGCGTACGCTGATATTGATCCTCGCTAGTCCAGGAGAGGAACAGGAGGAGATGGAGAGGGTTGATGGATGACTTGATAAAGATAAAGCAGAGATAAATCAGTCTGTAGGAGAGGGAGGGGAAAGTGGAGGGCTAGGAGCGGGTCAAACGTGGCACGAAGCATTACGGTCAAGATCACTATCGAGAGGGCCGGGGGTGGGGGCTTTCTGAGAAGTGCAGGAAGAGCTGTGGATGTGGCATGCTCACTGATAATTTCAAGCAAGGTGTCCCGGCCTTTCAGTGTGTTATCTCCTCCTTCTGATGAGGCAGATTTCACCTCCAAATACGTAAAGGCATGCATTCTCGCAAACACGTGAACGACTGCACACTCACATCCACGAGATGCCCCGGTGGGCAGCTCATTATATCATTTCAGTAACAGTGTGAGGGGGTGGATCGATCGCTACATTAAACATTAAGAGGGGACAGCTATATTGGGGGCCGAGGGATTGAGAGTCGAGAGTCAATATTGTTCCAGATTAATTACATCCACCTCTCGCCTGTGACGGGATGTCCCTCTCATGGCACGTCCCAAGACAGGAATGTATTGTATCGCCTGCACTAAACAGCAATAAGGCTCCAAGATTTATGGCTGTTCAATGGCCATTTATAAAAAGCCAGCGCTGCACAATTGAAAGTGAAGTGGACAATAGGGAAAACATATGATTTCAGAAGATTTACCAATTAAATTCTGATCCCCTGATACTTTATTTTCTCTCCCTCGTACTCAGTTTTTCCCATTTCTCTTATAACGAGAGCAATATCAATACAAATTGATCCAGTTCACTGAGGATTCAAGGTTGTACTGTAGGAGGAATTCTGGGGGAAGAAATCTAAGTTTAGTTGTTAAGACAACAATTACACCCCTTTCAAAAAATATTGTTTCGATTTCAAAAAATGGGAAGTGATACTATGATGCTTGCAAAACTGTAGCGTCACTGTTGTTCCCATGTTTAGTGTCATTTAGATCTACATCCTGTTAGCCAATGCAACATAGTGCACCAGAGGCGTTCCAACGGCCAACAAAGTCCAGAAAACATTTGTCAGAAGTGCCACTGTGCTATCCAAAGAAATCATCTCTCCGCCCTACTGATACTATAGTACTTTCCATCAATCTCGTTAGGCTTGTTTGGCAGCTATCTGACAACCGTTCTTTAAATATTCAAGTAGCCTGAACCATTATCAGATGAGAGAAGATGATCTGTAAATCTGATAAAGCAGACACTAATGGAGCCAACACTCCTGGGCCTCCCCCGAGCAGACAGACAGCGAAGCCACTCCTGAGCCCGTTGGCTCCCAGAGACGAGGGTGAGTTCGTCTTCCTGATTGTGCAGCGGCCTTAAAAGCATGCACACATGCCCAACACATGTTTCCATGCACCACTGGACAGGCTCGAAACGGTCTGGATCACATTGGTTCGCCTAGCCTCTCTCGCTCTCTTTTTGCTCTCACTCTTGCACATTTTCACACATAAGTAGAAACTTGGCCAAAGTCAGTACCATGTTGTGACCAGATTTTGACTTTTTAAACTTCTATTTTTTTCCCCCTTTAAGGTTTTTGACGTGCACTAGATAAAGACAAGTAATTTATGGAGTCAAATGTTACAATCTTGTGTTCTTAAATACATGTGGAAGACACTCATTTTAGCTATAGTTATAGCTTGTCTTTGATAAATGAGATTTAGGTGATTTTTAAGATTTGCCCTTGGTGCTCTATTTCACAATTATTGGGCACTTTTGACTCTTAAAATGCACATGAACAATGCAGCCCTAAACTGGGAAAAATGAACAAGGAAAAGAATTGAAATTCATGATATATTTAAGTGTGTGATGTAATGCATGATACAGTGTGTGTTCTATGCTATCAGTATGGAAGCTAATAGTTCTTTAACACATAAGATGTATATATTTTCTACAAAAAGATGTACTTTAATTTTTAAATATCATTACAAAATTTAGTTTAGTGAAACGGTAAGAAAGATAATTAAACAAGGTTCCTGCAATTGTTACTAATATGATTGCTTATAATAATATGGCACCTATGATTTAAAAAAATGTGTTCTAGCTGGTAGCACCTGTATAAGGATGGGTCATTCATATTCATTGATCATGGTTCATTTTTACTGGATAAACTGATGTAAATTTCAATTCATCCATCTGAACTTTACACAGAAGCAAACTACTTCTGTTCTATTTGTCCAAAAAGTGAATTTCTTACCGCAAATTACTTTTGCCCTTGAATCTCTGCAGAAAGAAAGTAACGCAGCATTTCCACAAGCAGAGAGGGAATCCTAATGAGCATGTGCAATCACACTAGCTCGTTTTTGGACTGAGGAATTGCATGTTAGCGCTATCCCTGGTCTCCATATGTACATCGACTTGACCGTTTTTTTGACCATGACAAATGGTGTAAAAATTGAAAGAAGTAATGCAATAAAGCATTTGTTTCTCTGTTTACTAGGCCAAAACATTCACTTCAACATGCGGTATTAGTCATTTAATATGAAGCTCAAAAATCAGGTACACAGCTGCGATCTATTTATTTTTATCTGTTTAGTGTTTAAAAAAGAGAACCCACACAAAACAAACTATATAAACTTAGAATTAGACCATAAGCTTGGTCTCGCAAAGTAAAATCCACCAGTCTGTGCAAAACTTTGACTGTCAACACATGCATTATAGGTTTGATGTAACCTACACTTTAAATGCTTTTAGATTCTTTTATACTGTGCCAGGCATTCTCCTATTATGTCTCCACCACAATGTATTCACTAAGCAAATAACGTGATTCACAGCCTCTGTAAATCAATAACTTCCTTTTTAACCTTTAAAACCATCGTGGCATAATTGGCATCCTTGTTATTATTGATCACTCACCACAAGAGATCAATTGGAAAGAGTGGGAGACCAGGTGTAGGCCATCTTTGCAGCTTGCTTTTAACGTGGCTGTGCAGCACGCTGAGGCCACGTGTCATTCGTTCTGCACATGTACAGCACATTTCATGTGAGACGGGAACCAGATCTCCAGATAACCTCGAGAAGATCCCTCCAAGAGTCCGACTTGAATCTTATTTGTATGATTGGACGCATTAAGTGTGTATTTACGTTAAGCTTCACAAGTTCCTCGCTTTAGCAAGATCCAGTCACCCTGTTTGACACCGAGGCTGATGTCCAATGAGTTATTGTGAGCGAGGCTGTCGTGTGCTGCAGACTTCCAGAGGCTTAGCACTTGGCCAAGCAGCATATAAACATCCAACGTAAGACTCTCCAGATGCACTCCTGTCTTCAGATTGGATTTCCCTACACTAGAGCCTTTAATGGTAGGAAATAATCTGTCCAAAATAAGATGGAAGAGTTCATAGCCAGGTCTCGTCAACTGCACGCAGCAGCTCCTTCACTTAAGATATTAAAATATTTTTGACTGATACAGTTCATGAAAGTTTAATCCCATCATTCTGTCTCTTTCAATCAAGGCGATTGTAGAGATTTTTGCAAAAACTGGTTTAAAATATCAGTCGGTGTCAGTACTATTTGTGTTTTTGTGTGGAACCCCAATAGTGTTTCCTGACATTTTCACCCCAACTCCATATGGCTCAGCTGAGGAGACCATTGTGTAGTGAAGAGTCTGTGTGGGGATCGTGCTTGCTTATGCCATTTGTTTGTGGTAGGTGTCTGTTGAATGGAAACCTACCCAATGTAATTATCCCTCTACTTCCTAAAGCACTCAACCATGACCATCACCTTTCACCCTGCATCCTCCCCCTCTAAGAGCCAACATTTACATATGTAAGAGCGCATCTCCACCCTGTCTTTAGCTCAGGGTTATCCCTTTACATAGGGCTCAAAAAAGGGTGCAAATGGCAAAGAATACGACAAAATAAGGAAGGAGGAGATGAGATGTGTTTGGATTGAGGAAGAGCCCTTTGACCTTAAGAGGTGGTGGGAATCTAACAGACGTTGCACACATTTTATACACTCCTGTGCATGAAATGTGGAAAGGCATACACATCACTACACTCGCATACATTTATTTTACCGTATATACTTCTGTGTTATCTCAAAATTGTCTGATTTACAACACAAAAGCTGTTGTGTACTGTATCTGTCTCTTGACTTCTAAACACCTTTCAGTTTCCTCCGTGATCCATGTTTAAGTTCACAAACTGTCCCTCCCCCTAAAACCATGAAATATGAGGGTCTCTGTGATGATGTAACATTTAACAAAGCAGTTAGAGGAGGTTATACTGCCCCAAATAAAAGCAGGAAGAGAAGTGAACGTGGAAGAACATAACTCTCCCTGGATCCGTTTACAAGACTGCCAGCACCGTATAAACTTTAGCTGCAAATTTGACATCATTTGGACAGAGAGATTTACTGTGATATACCAGAGAGTTTGTAATAGTTGGGGGAGACCAGAGTTTGTTTTAATGACTATTCCTGGAGCTGGATGTTACACTTCTTCCCAGATTATGTTTTAAGATACACCAGCGGCTTGGCTTTAAAGATGGCAATGTCCCAACATTTTTTTTTTTATTGTGGCAATCCCCAATTTTTCATTCTAGCTCTAATATATCAAAGTTTTACTGTGTCAAGAAGAAGATTTTCTGCATGCACACGTGCACCTTAAACAATATACACTACCTGGGGGGAAAAAAGTCCCCACTTGGATTTAACTAAGCAAACAGGTAAGAGCCTTCCACTGGATAATTACTGCAGTGAATAATATGTTTCAGCTGGCAACAGGTTATTTAACCCCAACTGATGCACTCAATAGCTTATTTCTTAAAGCACCATGTAGGAAGACACATCCCGTGTTCATGGAAAAGATGTTATTCCACATCTGAAGAGTTAGTTATTGATGGGCCGCATCAAGTGAAGAAAAAAAAAACCTAAGAAAATCTACTGAAACAAATAAAACTGAGTTAATAATGCTGTCCATTAAACCTGGAAGGACATAGTGGTGAATAATAGTCATCTCTGAGAAATAAATGCAGTCAGAAACTGGAGGTTCATTAAACACTTGGTGAAATAAAATCATTGAAATCAGCAATAAAACTGTTGATTGTGTTTAACAGTGAAATTAAGAACATTTCCACGCTCACAGTGTAAAAAGAATTCGAGGGATTGTGACTAAACAGCTGTGTAGCCTTAAGAAAACCACTTATCAGTGAGGCTAATCAAAATTAAAGGCTTTAGTTTGCTTGGGGAGCATAAACGCTGGACTCTGGAGCAATGGTAAAGAAAACACTGTATGGTCTGAATCCAGATTTGCCCTGGTCCAGACCAATGGATGCCTCTGGGTAAGAAGAGAAGGGGATGAAGTGACGTTCCCATCACGCCTCGTGGCTACCGTACAAGCCAGTAGGGGCAGTCTTATGATGTGACCTGAAATGAGGTCAGAAAAAAAAGACCAGGTTTTTCCATTTTAAATGGAGTTTTCTTTTGTATTCGCTGCTGGCACAGACATATTCCAGGATGATAATGCCAGGATTCGTTCAACTCAAACAATGAAGAAGTGGTTTAGGGAGCATTTTCACTCATGGGTTTGATACTACAGATACAGGGATGTGCTGGAGAAGCCATTTTTAGCTCCAGTCAGCTCAGTGGACCACTTTATCTAAAGCAAGTTAATATGTTAAAGACTTAACTGGTCTTAAGGGTTAATTACAAAAACCCACCCTTTTCCAGTTACGTAAGTACACATGTGAAAACTGTTAGAAGTGATACATTTGGCTCATTGTATGATGTCTGAAGCATCGCCCGCGGGGGTATTTCTTTTGGGGAAGAAAAAACAAAAAGAACTTTCTTTGTACAAGAACTCTATGACAAGTTTCATGAGAAATTCGAAGCAACAAAATGTCCACAAACGGAAACAATACAACTTTGTGTGCTTCCTTAGCAGAAAGATACAAAGTGGCCCGAACCAGAAAAAAAGAGAGGCCATCAGAGCCTTACAGGTCCTAAAACTGATGGCATGGTACTCTTAAGAACTAGATTGTAATATCTGGGGAGTAGCACACATTTTAGCATAGCTGAAAGAATTAAAAAATGTAAGATGATAAATTTGAGTAATGGAGTGCAATCTGCCCCAGGGCACAGGAGATTTGGCTGCTTAAAATAGGCCTCTGAACACTTATGTATAGTAAACAATCCCCAGATTTCATAAATCATTGTCACTTGTTAGTGTAGATAAACATTAACAATAGATAGTCTAGATGGATCCGTGTTTCTAAGGGACCCAGCATGTTTAGGCCATTGTCAGCACAGTGCTTTTCCAAATCACACGTTATCATTCATTGCAAGTGCGATTGTGTTCCTTTAGTGAAAATGACAGCAGATTCTCTCAGAAATTGCTGTATTCATGTTTCACCAACTCTGTGTGTGTGTCTAATTGAAGTCCCCATGCGACAGCAGTCACACTCGCAGGCAAATTACACAAACACACAAATCTGCATGGTGCTCATTTACCAGATTAATTAATATTCCAGAAAGGTCACACACAAATAACTCAAACACACACACATACCCAGACCCTTCTGAGTACAGCTGACGCCGTTACCCGGCCGGTCTCTTTGAAATGGAACATCATCATGAACTGAAAGCCACATCAAGGGCAATATTCCTGCCAATCGCATTAGCGGCTCTGCTTGGCCGCGCTGTGAGTGGACACTCTCTGAGGATTGTCTGCAGTTCATGACCAAGACAGAGAAAGATGGGGATGTCAACAGACAAACACGGCTGTATTATTAGAGCAGCGGTCATGTGCCACCCTCTGTGTGCTAGCAGACAAACTGTCGGAGACTTAGAGGAGGCTGGAATCCCATCGCGTCTGTCTGGGAAATCTGGGTAAATGCTCTCTAATCCTGTTGATCCTCCACTAAAGCCAACACTTCCTCACCTGCCTGCCTGCCATGGGAGAGTAAGTACAGACCAAAAATAGGAAGGATATGATGATGAGCAGCGCTCTGAAATCACATAATTTATCATTTAATGTGTTTGCTTTCTCAAAGGCATTCAGGTTAAAGTAAAACAAACACTCGAACAGGAATTGCAAGTTTGAATCCACAGCAGTTGGCAGAGGATTTTGGATATGCGTAGGTGTTATTGAAAATGTTTAAAAAGGGTATTTGTGACACATGCTCAGAGAGGGAAAATAATAAAGGGCAGGGCAAGGTATATTGGACAGCAGTTGATGTCACACCCTGTAGTATATTTTTGTTTTGTTTCTTATTTTACTGTAAATGGGACCATATATAAAATGTTCTGCTGTGTGTGAAACTAGTGAGTGAGAAGCAAAAAACTCGGGTGAATTGTTGGCATTTCCAAACTTTTTTTTATCAACTAAATATTATTATTATTACTTTAGCGATAGCGTTGTGTAAAGGTATTACACTTGTACAGTCCTGCAAAACTAAGTACATCCCATTATTCAGTAACTTGTAAAAACCACCTTTAGCAGCAATGTTTTCAGGTAATGTTTTCTATATGATTTCATCAGTTTCTCAGGTCACTGTGGAGGGACTTAAGCCCTCTTTTCTTTACAGTGTACATGAGTTCATCAAGGCTTGCAGACATTTGTTTATATCAGTTTCAATCAGGTTTAGGTGTGGATTGCACCACTGCATCCATCTCATAGGTTTTTCTGTTGTAGATTTGCTGCTGTGCTTGGGATGACACTCTTGTATGTCTCTGTTTGGCCCAAGCTTTAGCTGGAGGGCAGATGGCCTCAATGACTGCAAAACAAGCCCAGATCATCATATGTTGTATATTGTACCCAGACATCTCTACTTTGGTCTTATCAGTCCAAAGGACACTGTTCCAGAAGTGTCGTGGTTTGTTCAGTTGTAACTTTGCAAACTTGAGCTCTGCCACCAAGAGGTCGTCGCCTGGCAACCCTTCCAAATAATCTGTCTTTTTCTAATTATACTCTCCTGAACGTTAACATTTAACACACCGAGGCCTGTAGAATCTGAGATGTAGCTCTTGACCTTTTTTTGGCAGTTTGTTAAGCATTGAATGGTAGGACTATGGGGTGGAATTGTGTTAGCACACACTGGAAAGCTTCAGACCAGCAAACTGACAAAGCTTCTGAAGAGTCCTGCAAAATAATAACTCTTTTCATGTGACTACACATGTTTGTTGACCGAGTGTGCAACCATTTAATGAAAACTATTTTAATGTTGCCATTTTATTTCTTTTTTTAACAGCAGATCCCTGAGGCAGTTTGTGGTTTATGTCACTGTAATGTTGTGTCAGTTTCCATTTTGTTTCACTTTCTACCTCCTGCTTTAGTGGGACAGTCATTTTGGGCTTCATTCAGTAGAGCCAGACTTCTTTTTCCTCCTCTTTTTGTGAATGGACGATGCTATATAATTACCTGGGTTGAGCTTTCAGTGTGGTCTGCTCCGTCAGCTCCACACCCACTGAACACACACCCACACACAAAAGGGATATACACTTTTATGCACGCAGCCCACTTAGAGACTAGCCGAGATTGCTAATACACACGCGCGCTCCTGCACACATGCGCACACTTAAATACATGCCTCCCCAGCTGGAAGTGCGCAGCTGCTGCTGTTTACCCTGTCGGGACCAGAAAAACATCCTGTACAGTTCTCCGGGTGAAAACCTCCCCTCACATAATAAACACAAGCCCTCGGCACATTTTGAAGCTCCACTTTGGGTGGTTTCTGTGGCCGTCGAGGCAAAGGTCCCCTCCAGCAGTCTGGCTTGATGGACAGTTTGGTGTGTTAAAGATTGAGTAGATTCCTTTGGGGGATCATCATATGGAAAAAACATTTAGTTAAAAAGAAGCTGAAACTTTTTTTTTTTGTAGCACATGACACATTATCAGGTTATCTGTTATCGCTGTCTGTGCTTTCTTTTTTATCTCGCCATCAAATGCAAAAAAAGAAGGATACAAGCAAAGGCTGACATCTGGATACCAAATCGGAAAGAATGCTGAGTGTATATGCCGTTCTAACAGAGCTGTGACATTTGCTTTCATCGCTCCATAGATATCTCTCTGGCCCGTACAGTTGTTTAACTTGAAGTTTAACACGAAGCTTAACTTTGAAAGAGGAAGTTTTGACTGCTGTTGTGTCTGGAAGAGCGAAGAAAAGTGGGCGAGGACACTCTGCGCTTTCAAATGACTGCTGGAATGTGGTCGTGTGCGAGCATGTGTGCTTTTGTGTGCCTGTCCCTGTCAGTGTTTATGTAAGTGTGTGTGTGTATGTGTGTTTATACGTGTCTATCTGCTGCCCTGTGTTTTGCAGTTGACAGTCACTAAAGCATCTAGGCTGGCATGTAAAAGAGATTCCTGTGCAGACAGAAGAATTTGTTTTTGCCGTTTTTGCCTTTGAGCTTAATAGCAGTAGTATCAGGGCAGGGCTGGATGACAAAAGAATATACAAAAGTTGTCCTGTGTGTGCGCCAAGTTTCATCTCTGTTTACTGTCTCTTGTAGCGGTGGCATTTCACAGCCCTCCAGTCACCATCAAGAAGGAACCGCAGAGCCCGGGCTCCGACCCCAGCCAGTCTTGTAGCCACAAACCGAGCTTCAGCTACCCCAGTGGAGAGCAGTGCCTTTATGCCAGGTATTTACTGTAGTGCATGTTTAGTCATGGATGACTTCACCCAAATAAAAACGGTGCATTCAACTTATCTTTATCTCACTATGAAGATAAATTCTTGGTTGAATCTGTCGAACTTTGAAACTATCCTATATTGAAGAAACAAGACTGTTTTGTCTGGATTGTCTCGAATAATCATGAAGGTAACTTTTGATGTTTGATGGCATTGTTGATGAAGAAATCCCAGAGATAAAATATTAAAAGTTTTTTGTACAGCACCTTTAAAAAAAAAACAAAAAAAAACAAAACAATGGAGATCACAAAAGTAATAATGCAAAAAATAAAACGTCAATTAAAATAAAGAAAATATGATGTCATGGCACAAACTTAAGTGTTTTGAAGCTTGATATACAGGAAATCACTGCAAGCCTCATCCCCCTCGGGCAAACTGTTCAAAAGCTGAAGGGCAAAAGCACCGCCACCACCGTCGCCTCTAAATTTAAGCCTCGGCACGCAACAGCACAAACAAAAGCAATGTCACCACTACTCGTGCTTTGGTGTTGTTTTTGGCTTATGGTTGACACATTAGAGAGCTGCTCTCGCTTGACGTGCGCTCGACTCGCTGCAGTCTAATCCTGGTAGTAAACCTGAACAACACTGGAATAAGGATACAAGAAGTCAAAACAGGGAGGAAAAGTTTGAAGGTGGTGAAATTTTTCTGCAAACTTTCCAACTGTAGCAACAACTTCTCTGTGATGGTGTCATCTGTATCAGAGAGATCTCTGTGGAGGGGAATCAGCAGGCTGGCACAGACTTGTGCCACGTTGCACAAAATGGGAGACAACACCAAAGTGTGCAGTATACCAGCAGTCATTGCATCACTTTTGTAAACGCTGCCATGCATGATGATGACAATGGCAAGTCTTAAATTGCCTTTATCGCATCTCCCAATTTTGTGAACTTGCCCGCTCAATGGGGCCAGTGTGGCTGACCTGGAATCAAAAGTGTGCAACCAAGTCCGCAGCTATAAGCATTTTTTTCTGCTAAATGATGGGCAATGAGTAAGCACACCTCAAGCAATGAGTATTTGTGGCAACCGTAACAACTAATTTCTGCTGTATGAAAGTGGGGGAGGAACTCTGAAGTGACACAAAAGGATGATTAATTGCCTCCTCAGATATTTAGACATCCACTCTTACCAAAGACAAAATAAATGCTTATTTTACTTTTTCTCTCAAAAGTGTACAATGACCAAGCCCAAGTTGGTCAACCCACATGTAAACTCTTATCACACGTTATTGACTGAATCCCTGCACATGAACTCTTGCTTTGTTTGTTGTATTCATTGAAGAAACAGCTCACCCCTGTTGTGACATGTGTAGTCATGCATGGATGTTTTTTTTGTCATGAGTGTATTCATGTGTTATTTGACTTCACAGTGCCTATGAGCAGAAAAGGGCAGCAGGAGGAGCAAAGAGCTCCTGCCCAGGGACCCCCATGTCTCCCATGCAGCAGCATTACTCCCCCAAACCTGCCACGGCCGGACGGCCCGATGCTGGTTACATGAACCCAGGTGCCACCTCCCAGCCACTTCCCAGCAACAGTTACCCCATGAACGCCAGGTGACACGGCACTGAAATCTTACCATTGGGAATTCTGGATATTATGTTGATTTCTCCTGACGAATGCATCCTAAACTGCCTTATTTCATTTCCCAGTTCCAGGTTTCAGGGACCTTCAGGAGACCCCATGTGCCCTCAGTTCCCCCAACCAGCGCAGGCCTTTCAGCGCATGCCATCTGCCCCAGCTGGCCACTGCACCACTGGTGGAGGTGGGGGTGGCGGTGGGGGCCCAGGGGGCGGAGGGGGTGGCGGTGGTGTTGGCTACCATCGGCAGCACTCTGACCCCTGCATGCCTTACCTGCAGCAAAGCTTTAAGCAAGAATACATGGACCCGCTGTATGAGCGGGCAGCCCATATGGCGGGGCCGGGTCATGTGAGTGGACAGGGACACGGGCATGGACACGGACACAACCATGGACCACACCAACACCCACAGTTACACTCGCACCCACATCGGTTCCCACCAGCCCACATGATGGTCAAGCAGGAGCCCACAGATTACACCTATGAACCAGGTGAGCAATAAAAACACTCTGCAATCACGCTCTGATTGGTCAGGTGGCATTGCAAAAACAGGACAACACAATTACTGGGTGTTGATTACAGATGTCAATGTTCAGGACTTAAGCAATGCCGTGGACTAAAAAATGACTTGAAAGTAACAGCTGCTTTAGTCAGATTTGTTCCACTGTTTAACAAAGTCAACTGAAAAATATGTAAAAGAAGAGAAAAGCTTTATTTGGGACTTCATCCATCTTGAAATGCAGTGGATGTGACCACAGAGATTAGGAGAGAAGGAAACAGATGGGAAAGTGAGACACATTGTGCCAGTATGTTACATAGTGATGGAGATAAGGACCGTATAAAAAACCTTCTCTGCAAACAAGGCATTGCAGGCACAATGATACAGTGGTTTTTTTTTTTTGTTTTTGTTTTTTAAATGGGAGATTATAACTCTGTTTGGCATGGACACAACTGTGTTTTCTTTTTCTGCGCATGTAAAGGTTTTGCACAAGAGCCAAAAGACACAGTTGAAGAGTATGTTAAAATTCTTTTACTCTATTAATTTCCAAGACCTGGGTGGCATGTCCTAATCTTTTTGGCTTTTGGTCCAGAAAATAGTTCACAACCAGTTAATGGTCATATTAGAGGGGAAAAAGCATTTGAGAGACTCAAAACAGCAAATATAGAGCATTTCTCCTTGTTAGACTGCTTGCGAATCAAAGGGTTGAAAACCCTCCCCTGTGTACATTGCTTACTCTAGAACAAAATGTCCAAAAGGCAAACAAACTTCTTCACTGTATCTGCACTCCTACTCAACTCCCTCTTAGCCTCCAAAACTCCTCCTTTCAACCCTCTGACACTTTGCAGTGAAAAGGGAGAAAAAAAATGTTTTTTTCTGCTGTAGCTACACCCCTCCCTCCCTCCTTCCTTATCCCGCTCCCTCCCTTCACCGCTCTCTGTGAGAGAGAGGCAGAGGAATTTCATTGAGAAAATGGAGGGCACTGGAAAGACTAGAGTCCCCGGTGGAGTGCTCCAGGGTTTCATGTTGCACCAGCGGCTTCCTTTTTCTGCAGGCAGATGAACTCATAATGGAAAAATGAGCGTGGCCACAGTAACTCGAACCTCTCACTGGCCGGGCTTTGGGAGTGGGTGAGGGGAGGGAGTGGAAGGGTAATGGGGGGAGGTAAGGGGTGGGGTAGCCAGCTCAGGCACTTTAACAACAAGCACTACCAGCAGCGAGTATACAAAGTAGCTCTTCTGTTGGCTTCTCCCTGAATCTAAAATGAGCGAGAAAAGTAACACGTAGCATCCTCGTTCACCTGTATTAAAATGGCTAAAGGGCTGACAGCGGTCCGCATGTGCACATGTGCTGAAAACGGCTGAAATCCAAAGAAAACAGAATTTCTGACTGTTTTGACTTGCTGTTTTTACAGTAACAATGACAAGAGTCACACAACCTTGAGAAAGAAATGGGGGAAAGTACCAAAGGATGTTTTTCTGTGGATAACTGCTAGGTGGAGGAGCAAGTTTTATTTGGTGGGGTTTCCTTAAAAGACTCTCTCTGATATGGGTTTTAACCAATCCAGAGGCTGATCTGACATGAAAGATCAAAGTTTATCTTTATTTTTGTAGACGATTATACAACAAGTGACTGGACTGTGTGCAGGATAATAGAAAGTGACAGGGGCCTAAAACTTGGATGTGATTACCAGTGAATTTTCTGCACTCAAGAACATGTACTCTCTCTCTCTGTTACTGAGCAGTGTTTAACATCTGTATTGAAAAGTCAGTCACTGGATCTCAGGTGGTCTAAAACAGCGGTCCCCAACCCTCGGGCCACGGACCGGTACCGGGTCGTGACAGTTGTGGCTCAGGTGTGAAATTGATGGTTTTCAGGTTTTTTTGTAGTTAACTAGGTTTCCCTGGGTCTTTTCCCGTGTTGTAGCTGTGTGTCTTATTTTGAAAGAAATATTTACGCGTTACCATAGCGACCATAAAGCGCTAAGGGGCAGAGAGGAGGATGTTAATCTCGATGTTGTTGGCGCACTTCAGGAGGACGCTCCTAATAAAGTTACACAATTACACCGAGAATTCACGTTTATTATTATATTTACCACCGTTTTTGTCTTGGTCGTATCATTTTATTTTGTTGTATTTATCCGCGACACCTTAAAAGTCGGTCCGTGAAAATACTGTTTATCATTAAACCGGTCTGCGGCTCAAAAAAGGTTGGGGACCGCTGGTCTAAAAGAACCTTTTTCTTTTAACACGTCAATAAAAATCCAAAAGCATTTTGCAAACATTTAAATGGAAAATGATGTTTCTTTTAGGCAGCTGAATTTGAGTCTTCACGATAGAAACCGCATCCCAAAAATCTCCTAAGCAATGATTGAGGACAGTTGTTATTGCCTTTTTTTTTTTAAGTGATCAAGTAGTACATGCTACATACTTGTCGATTGATCTTCTTGAGCTTCTTAATGTGCAGCATACAAAACCCAGCCATGCCAGCCGCAACATCTGCAAGGTTGCATACATACAGGCAGGTCTGAAGACATACTTTCCTTCAGTTATTTGTTATTTTCTGCTGAATTACAGTGTCACTGTAAGAAATTCTATCCCAAAATTTTGATGTCAGAAGCACGTAATGGAAAGCGAGTAATAAAAAACACCACCAGTGTTTTCTTTCACTTTGCACAATGTGAACAATGACAGTCAAATGCCGCAAGTATACAGTCTCATTTTAAAAGCCGGGTAGATAATGAGACTCGTAGTTTCACATACAAATTGGCATTCCATCGCTTAATCACTGCTATTGTGTTGAATCAAAGACGCAGAATGGTCATGCCACGGAGCAGACAATTAACCCCAGTGCTCTCACACCCAGTCTACCCATCAATCCCTGGCGAGAGCCTGCCATCTCTGGCAGACATATTATTTACAGTATGATCGAGCGCCGCTGCCCTGGAATGGAGGTTTGATTTTCCCCAGTGGCATCTTATCACAGTCGCAGAGCTGCAGCTGCATTCCCCAGGAGTGAGTCACGGTCAGAGCCAGAGGCAAAGAGCTGCACCTTTCAGTTTTATACACTTGCTTGGCTCATTGATACAGTTGACAGACTGTAAAAAACAGACAAACAAGCTCTTATAATAGGCAATGAGTCACCTTTTTTTTGTATGCTTAGCCAAAGAAAGAGGAAAAACACACAGACAAAGGTTAGTGGCTCGGTCACAGGAAATGGAAAACAATATTCTCACATTACATGTGAAATGCACTTCACAACTGTCCCAACTTGCAGAGAATTTTGCCGGAAGGTTTATGAAGAGCAGTGTAAAATCTATATCAGTGATTTGAGCGAGCCAACGATGTGCCCAGACAAAGTGCAGACACTGTATACTGTACCACTTTTCTGGTCTGGTGCAGGTGCTTGCTCATGGCCTAAAAATACCACCAGGGACAAGAGAAGTGATATGATAAATGCAGCATTTGCCCTTGCAGGTCACAATGATCCCACTAAATCCAGCTAATACACCCACTTTTCTCAAACAGGTAGTGCTTAGGAAAGCACATTAGCAGCCATCCTTGCATTTTAATTTGACTTGACACCTTACAGGGATTTCTAAATGACACTTTATGCCATAATCTAAATGTCGGTTCAATTTGTTAACCTGTAGTTCGTTGTTTCTGTTACAGATGTGCCTGGATGTCCCTCTATTTACCACCACAATGAGGGCTACCCAAACCCCCAGCATGGCAATGAAGGTAATGTGAATGTTTTGCATTCTACTGCAATAATGCCCTTTAAAGGCCTCCAATAAAAGTTATTATGGAGTTAAAGGAATTTAAGTGATGTCAGTATACAGAAATTGCATGTACCCAATCTGCCCTGTCTCAAAAGCTTTATCTACTCTGGTTAGAGGTCTGCGGTCATTGGCTAACCGGCCTAGAGTGTGCGTGCTTCCATTGGCCAACCAGTGGTGTGTCTGTTTCCATTGGCAGAGGCTCTCGCCTCACCCCTGCCTCAAGAATCCCTGAATAAACATAAGTCTTAGAAAAAGCACACTATTTCCCCAGCAAAAAGGAAAACAAGCCCTCCCTTCTTTACCATTGTTTGCAAGACCATTTTCGGCAATTTGAAATCTCATTCAGATGCACTCAGCATATAAGATATCACAGGTCTAGTATACTAAAAGGGCATTAATGTTGTGAGTTATTTTGGTTGAACAATATTTAAAGCTTGCCACTGGTTCCAGATGAACAACCTTGTTGTGCCAGGATGAAGTCCATTTGAAATGACACAATACTGACACAATTCTCCCCCCTCGTCTCTTAGGCTATCTGTTTGAAAATGACTCCCGTGTGGTTCCAGAGAAGTTCGAAGGTGAGCCTGCTTACCACATATCCCCTCTGCATGCACACACACAACTTCAAATGCACAGCACACAGGTGTTACTTAGTGACAACAGGAAGAAAAGAAAATCACAGGAAACACAGTCACTTACTTCAATCTCTTACATGACTGATTCTCTGCCAGAAGTAAAAGTACCCCAAGGGTATCACTACAGTCGCTGTGGGGGGACATGAAAGGATTAACTCAACTATTACAATTTTAGTGAACCTTAACAAGTTTGAGAAGAAAGGTTAATGGTTTATTTAAAAAAAACAAAAAAAGTAAATGGCTAAGCAGAAGAAAAAGAAATGCGTTTAATGATGGTCAAAAAGCAAGAAAGTGGTATACATTTGCAATTTGCTGCAGAAAGTGAATTGCACTTTAGAATCGAAGTGAACAGAGCAGCAATAATTATTATTTACACGTCATTTTAATGTTCACAGTGTACTGACAGTATGGAGTAAAACAACGTCTAGTTTTTCTTACACAGAAGCCAATTTTTCCCATTTTATCTGCATGCTAATTGGTTAATGTGGGGTCATGGTGGTTGCAGAAAATGAAACTGCTGGAAACCGAGGTACATCATAGTACAAAAAAAAAGTTGGGAACTACTGCCTTACTGTCTATCATATTATACACACATCAGAAGGATCCCGGTGTCCTCAGAAACTGAGTTAGTGGGTTTGGTTTCCTTGTACCCTCCAGGCAGGGCTCCTCTGTCACAGAAACAAGCTTTTCCCATGGTGTTGTTGGTTATTGATGCTAAGGGAGATTGAGTGAAGAGCCTGAGGCCGTCAGCACTCGTTGAACCAGTCAAGTGTGCAAGTTCTCTGAGAGACGACAGCAGTAACTTAGCTGTGCATCTCATGTTCCAACACCTGTGTACAACATATCAAGTACCTGGTAAACAACCGAGAACCAAACACCAATCAGTGTCCATTTACCTTACTAAGTAGTAAGCTTGATTTCTTTCTTTTTGCCCTGTACTGCCCCTTACTTTTATCTCTATTTGCCTCTAGTTCAACATGCTCTGGCTTTTTTAGCTGCAAGCTGACATTTATGGGGATTTGGGTTTACGTCAGTATGCAAACATGGGGGAAAAAAAAAAATCAAGATTAGATGACCTACGGATGTACTTATCCTACTAGAATTAAGCCACTTTTAGGCTGTTAGGGGTCAAATGTTTCTTGTTTGCACAGCAAGAAGTACTTTAGACCATAATTTAGTGATTGAATCTTAATGGTCGGATGCATTAATGTGCTGAAAATATATCAACTATCACATTAACTGGCTGGAGATAAACCACAGTGCACATAGGGCAACAAATCTCTAAATTCCTGGTTACATGAAATAGATGGAAAGCATTTTGACGCCTATAAACATACTGAGTACCTCTGTATTCCTCGTCCAGGTGAGGTGAAGCAGGAAGGGGGTGGTCTTTTCCGTGAGGGTACACCTTACCAGCGCCGTGGCTCTTTGCAGCTCTGGCAGTTCCTGGTGGCCCTTCTGGATGACCCAGGCAATGCCCACTTCATCGCCTGGACAGGCCGCGGCATGGAATTCAAACTAATTGAACCAGAAGAGGTAAGTCTGAACTGTAAATGACCTTTTTTTTTCTTCAATCAAAGATGGTGGGGAAGCGTTGTCTGTAGGCGCTATAATCGACCAGGCTAGCCATCATGATGTCACCCACTGGTCTTACTATTTTAACCCGATTTGATAACAGAGGATGAATCAGACTGTGAAACCGCACACTCATTGGCTAATGATTTGTAACTGAAACGGTATTATCTACTCTGGTTAGAGTCTGAATGATCATCCTTTCTAACTATTAGAATGACCATAAATTGCAAACAAAATTAAGGGGCTTCCACACCGAAAGCGATTCTCTCATTTCCCGTTTTTCTTGTTTTGTACTTGACAGTTGATTATAACCAGCAGACAGGATGCGGCTGCTTAGAAAAGTGTAGTGTAGTGTAGTTCCCACATCACATGTCTATTACCAGTATCCTTCACCATCACCGGTAGTCACATGAATTTAAACTAACGACTAAGCCCATAAAATCATTAGGAAAGAGTTCGCTGGCATCCCAGTAAAAGTGAGTCAATGGTTGTTTCCAAGACTTCAATACAAAATGAAATTCTTTGAAAGAAGAAGAGCCGCCCCCTGCTGGCCATTACAAAGAACAAAGGTTTAACCCTTTAAAATCGATCGGAGCAGGCACGCTCTGTTTTGCGTAACTATTTTTAAATTCTGGTAGCTCTGCAACCACGTAAGCTAGCGCAAAAAAAATTTTTTGCATATGAAACCGGAGGAGTTGTACTTACATCTTATGCCATCAGCCTGCCCTAAGTCACAGTTTCGATCAGTGCTGCAGGTCTCTTCCTGTTAAACAGGAGTTCTTCCTTCCCACAGTCACCTAGTGCTTGTTCAGAGGGGACTGTCTGATTCCTGGGATTCTCTCTCAAATGTTGTAGGGTCTTTACCTTAAAGCACCCTGAGGCAGAAGGTGTTGCGCAGCACTACATAAATAAACTAGATTTAATGCATCTTTGAAAATGGCCATACACAGATGCAGAGGCTGTCTAGCTCTTAAGAGAGACATCTTTATGTTTCAGTTTGCTAAGTTCCTTAGACTTTAATATCCAGTGAGTGTCAGACATATGTGATCTCACATCTCACTTTGTTGGGTAACTTTAAAAGAAGTTCTAGTTTAACTGGAGCTTTCTCTGCAGTAACAATATCACTTTAAATGTTTGAAAAAAAAAAAGACTACTGCGATATAAAATGCATTATTTTTAACACATTACTGTGTGGCCTTGTCCACTGATAGTACTGGTAGTGATTGTGACATTAATATGATAAGGATACTCTTTAAATAAATTTAGTGAGGGTTTGCTGTAATCTAGGTAGCACCTTCAATGAGAAGGGGGATTTGGCCACTTTCCTCATAGGCCTATTTTCTGATCCATCTTCCATTAGGCCCCCATACATTATTCAACACGCACTGGATTGATAAATGAAGGACAAGCACTATCACAGAAACATCCAACACCCCTGTTCTCTCTCACCTCCTCACATTTCTTAAGTCCAGACATTTTTGCAATGTTTAAGTCTGCAGTTTGATTGGATATCAGAGCGCCTCCATTTAGGTGGGCCCTAATACAGACAGGCCTATATTGTGTTTTCCATTATCTTTTTACTGTACATTAAAAATGAATGGGGTAAGAGTTTTACAAGCGCAATTAGAGCTGAGAGCGCACTCAGAGATCAAACGGGGCTGCTGGGCCACTGTGGGATACAACCTGTCTTCCTGAGTCATGAATATCAATGCCCCCCCCCCATCCCAAGCTCCAAGCTTTACGGTTTCTTCCTACATCCAAGGTGTTTGTCAACAGAAAACTTATCCACTGTTGCACAACTCCTTGATTTATTTCCCTGTGTGTGTGTGTGTGTGTGTGTGGTGGGGGGGGTCAATGTGAGGCATTCATTTTCTATAAGAGGCAGAGCTGCTTTATCAGCCCAGGGTTCAAATTTTGGGCTGTATTTTATGGCCTGCCCCTGACAACTCGCCCTGACTCCTGTTTCACTGCAAACACTGTGGGACTCTGGTTGCATTCAAGTGGTAATGGTTACATAAAAAGGAAGTGAATCCACATGTGAGGACTCGCCCTGGTCTTGGCATGTTGATACTGTCGAATTTAATAGCATAAGGAAGTTTGGCTTGCTACTGAGGCCCTCTAGTGGGCAACCTGTGGAATTAACTACCTGTGTCCAACTATTAGCGCAAAAAGACTCGATCTTCTTGAAATGTAATTTGAGGAAGGTTATGTTTTACACTATTTAAAAGCATGCAAACACATTTTTAACTGATTTTTTTCTTCTTTCTCAGGTTGCCAGGCTGTGGGGAATGCAGAAGAACCGTCCAGCCATGAACTATGACAAGCTCAGCCGTTCTCTGCGCTACTACTACGAGAAGGGAATCATGCAAAAGGTACAAAACGCAGCCAGCACTAAATCTACTGGGAACCAAAGTAATCCCACATAGGTTTTCAGTACAGTGCCTCCAGTTGTCAGAGGGCAGTCAAAGATGCACAAAAGTGCCCTTAATGTCAGTGCCTGATGCATTGGCAAGTTATTAAAAAAATAGACCTCTTGCAACTTGTCACGTATGAATGTTTGCAAAGGAACCCCTGGATTCATGTCTAAGTACACTAAATACACTGATTTGCTTTGTTTTCACTCAGTAAAAGGCTGGAGAGGTGCTGATTTTGAGATTTGCCCTTTGTCTAAATATCACCACACACTGGATGCTCCATAAAAACAGGAACATAAACTCTCACACCAAATATTCCGAAAAGGCATCTTGTGCATTTGTCTGTGACAACTTAAGACAAAAAGTTAGTATCTGACGCCCTGGAATAGGAATATACTCGTGCACTCGTCTTGCTGGATAGCTAAAGAAAAGGAAACAGTTTGGTGTTCTCGTTCAAAATGGATATAACACATTTCCAGCACTTTTATATTTATATACATCTCCCAATTTTCTCTTATACTGAGTGCTTAGTCTCTGCAGCCCTCAGAGGCTACAGAAACTGAAATATTAGTTTACAAATGCATTCGTATTTCATTTTAAATAATCCTCCTCTCTCTCTCTCTCTCTAGGTGGCTGGGGAGCGCTACGTTTACAAGTTCGTTTGTGAGCCCGAGGCTCTAATCTCCCTGGCCTTCCCCGACAATCAGCGACCCAGCCTGAAGGCTGAGTTCGAGCGCTACGTCAACGAGGAGGACACAGTGCCTCTGTCGCACCTGGACGAGGGGGTGCCTTACACCCCGGAACAAGCCCCTCAAAACATGGGCCCTCAGCCCTACTCCAAAGGCTACATGTACTAAAGCCAGCCCCAACACGCCCTCCTTTCTACCCCACCTTCAGAGATGTTCCCATTGTACCAACCCACCATCATACATGCCCCACAAAACCCCATGCACCTCTTGCACATGCCCACCCCATCCTCTTGTATATAAGGATATGGTGTTTTTATTTTAAATTAATCGCATTAGGGATTTTTTTTTGGTTTTGTTTTATTTTTAAGAGCTGTATTCCTCTCACATTCGAGGCTTATTCAATCCATAAACCTGACTGTGGTTGAAGAGATTGCTTAATAAATACTCATAATAATATTCAAACTGAAGTCCTGAGAATTCTTTAACACAGCTGAAAGCAATGTTACTGAATAGTGATGAGAATTTTAATCAAGTGTTTCTTAATTCAAATTAGACTGACCCGTTGTAGCCAGGTACTATTCGTCATTCAGGAGGGCAGTTTAAGGGATAGCTGGAAGGGTGGAGCTGCACCATCTGCTGGTAAAGCTGGTTATGGTACCAACCAAGGTATGGCCGCATACCTTTGAGCTTTAAAAGATGATATTTTAGCATAACTGAAATATTCTGGTTCATAGTGGGGAGGATAACATTTGTGAGGTGGTGAAACGTTTTCGTTTGGAGACAGCAACACAAAACCACAAAGATGAGGGGAAAAAAACAAACTGCAAAAGCTACCTGTTACAAGTTCAGGCTAAATGCATCATTTGGAGTTAACTAGCACTAAAACGATGCAAAGTCTCTACAGACACACTTTAAAACCCAAAGAGCTTTTAACTGGAGGTAGCAATAACGATTGCTACCTCCATTGTGTGCCTTGAAATTCTGGCTTGCCCTTCGATGTGCCTCAGGCAGGATGTTTGAAAACCCCTGCAGAGAACAAAAGAAGTCGATTACAAGTGTTAGGCACCAAATTCAAGAAGGCACACTAAATCATTGCTTACTAATATAATAAATGCCATTTGAACGTGATAATTCATCTGACTCCATAATGTTATCTTAAAGTGACTATATATATATACACTATTTAATACATACTATTTATGGCCAGCTGTATAGCGTAGTGGCAAGACCACACACCTTTGGAGTGGAGGATCACAAGTTCGGATTCCTTTCTGGGGGCATCTGTATCCATAAAATAAACAAGGGTCGGTGAAACAACAAGTAGCTCCCTGTTCCAACATGGTATGGCGAGGGGGAGCCAGGATGACAGGTCAGGGGGGAGATATCATCACCCTGAACTAAGATTGATTGATTGAATCAAATAGCTTGATTTAACTTTAAGTAAATTACTTCTAAAAGTACTGGTAGGGTTGTGGACTTTGTCTAGCATACTGAGTCATGTCTGGGTCCATATCTCTGCAGCACACCATGGGTCATGTACTTGATTGATACACACAAAACTGATAAATTAACCAACTTGAAATTAGGGTTGCTAATAGATGCTAAGGCTAACAAAAAAACAGCAACTACTTTCTAGGGCTATTTATCCACTTCAGAGAAAAAGTTCCAAGTAAGATCATATACAGTTGTGGTCAGAAGTTTACATCCACTCTTCAAGGCACTGAATGGTAGTAATTTCTTTCAACTGTTTTCAGTGTGGAATAACCGTATAGATTACACAGACCCAACAAGAACTGGGTTCCTAAGTTTTAATTTATTTTGGGTTTACTCCAGTCCTCACCAGATCAAAATCATACATGCAAGATGAATTTTATACATACACTCACTGAAATCTTTTGTTTAAAGTGGTGCTGAAGGGATTACAATGTCTTTTAACTTGACAAGGCCATTAAGTTGTCTTAAGTGATCGTGATTGGCTACAACTGGTAGTTTTTCTTTGCTAGCATAAACTGACTGCACTCATTGGATTGACCAATACTCCGAACAATAGGAAAGACCAAGGAACTCAGAGAAGATCTTTAGGTATTCTTCTAACCTTGGCAAACTATCACCCTCGGAGACGAGAGGAAATTACTTGGGACATTCAGGAACAACCCAGGAATCAACCCAGGCCTGCCATGAACTGGAAACTGCAGAACACCAGTGTCACTGTCCAGTGAAGCGAGTTTTAATCACCATGGACAAAGAAAGAAGCCACTTTTTCAAAATTAGCACCTTTAAGCTCAGCTGAAATTTTCAGCTGCCTACATGGACAAGACAAATGTGTTTTGGAGTAAAGTTTTATGGTCAGTTGAGGCAAAGACTATTTCGCCACAATGACAAGAGATATGTGAGGCTTTCAAACCTAAGAGCACCGTCAAGCACGGTGATGGCAGCATCATGCTCTGAGGCTGTTCTCATGCCATTGGTACTGTTACATTGCACAAAGTGGATGAAATAATGGAGGAGGACTACCTCCAAATTCTTCAACATAACCACAAATCGCTCGATGGTTGAAAACTGGGTGTCCTAACAGGACAATGACCCCAAATATACATCAAAACTAGTTTGGGAACGGACAAAGCAGGCTAACATTAAGCTTCTGGAATGGCCTTTCAAAAGCCCCCGACCTAGCCCTACTGAAAATTTGTCGACTGCGCTTAAAAGCCAGGTTCACGCCAGGAAACTAACCAGTTTAAATAAACTGTGTTAAGAAAAGTCATTAAATATCGACAAAATTATGCCAAAAGCTTGTTGATAGTGAACAAAAGTATCTGGTCAAGGTGCAACTTGACATTTCACCAGATATGAAATGTCAAGGGGGATATGTATACTTTTGACCCTGTGTTTCTTAGAGAAAATCAAAAATAAATTCACATGCAACTAATTCTTGTTGCTTTAAAATCACTAAAGATGCATGCTATACAGTCGTTCCACTTTCCATTTTTCTCACCAGGCATTGTGACACTGTGTTGGCACTGATCTTCCAGTGAGTCTGAACATGTGTAAATTTCCAGCTAGATCCATAGAACAGTCTTCATTTTGTTTAATTAAGATGAATTGCCAAGATAATGAACTTCCCAACAAGATCATTGTGTATTAAAGTATGAGTCAGAGGTAGTGAGCAGGGCTGGAAGGAACTTGTAAAACCTCAGAGACCCCTCAGGCTGCTGAAGACAAGAGTGCATTACGCCTCTGTGTGCCAGTGGAAAGTCAGAGGAAGCCCTGATAATGATCTCCAGCTCTGAGGTCACAATGGAATAGGCCTGGCGTAGAAGAGAAATTAGAGTTTGATTTCTTTAAATTTCAAATCTCAAACAAGAGATTGGTGATGTTGCATTTTAATTAAGTTTCCGGCTGGAAGTAAGCTTCTTTCAAGGATGCTTGAGAATTATTGCAAGAGAAAGACACTGCAAAGGTTACACGAATTTTGGAAATGTTCATATGTGGGCATTTTGAAGATTTAAAAATATCCAGCTGGTTTTTGTTGATTCCTACCAGTTACATTTCTCACCTTGCTTAGTCAAGAGGAACACATGGAAGGTACTTAAAACTGGTCCTCAATCGAGGTTTGCCACTTAAATTTGCGCTATTCTTCTAGCATTTGTGAGCTCTCGAGACTATAAATATGGCAGATATCCACAGGGGCTGAAAAAAAACATACGTTCTGTTAGAAATTAAAATCAAATCAGTCTGTGTCACAATCTAAAGCCAAACTCACAGCACAATTTTTCTATAAGCAATTTTGAGCATCAGTGCAGAGTGAGGAAAAACAAGCTACCCTGGATGTTTTTCTTTTTTTGCAACTCAGTGCAGAAAACCTTCTAAGTGCATTTTGGGTAAACCTTCAGAGAGTTGTGTTACTAACTGAAGTAAGTCAAAAAGGGGAGCTGTCATATGCTTTATGTTCTATATGAGTGTGGCCATGGAAGGAATTCCTGCAGTTCTGCTATTTCAGTTATGATAGACTGATGTTCAAAGCTGGTTATAGAAAATCTGTGACTTGTAACACTGGCAGATGTGTGAAACGTCTGTGTGACTATCTCCTGTACTTGTGAAGTTACAGTGGGGCAAAAAAGTATTTAGTCAGCCACCGATTGTGCAAGTCCCCCCACTTAAAATGATGACAGAGGTCAGTAATTTGCACCAGAGGTACACTTCAACTGTGAGAGACAGAATGTGAAAAAAAAAATCCATGAATCCACATGGTAGGATTTGTAAAGAATTTATTCGTAAATCAGGGTGGAAAATAAGTATTTGGTCAATAACAAAAATACAACTCAATACTTTGTAACATAACCTTTGTTGGCAATAACAGAGGTCAAACGTTTACTATAGGTCTTTACCAGGTTTGCACACACAGTAGCTGGTATTTTGGCCCATTCCTCCATGCAGATCTTCTCGAGAGCAGTGATGTTTTGGGGCTGTCGCCGAGCAACACGGACTTTCAACTCCCGCCACAGATTTTCTATGGGGTTGAGGTCTGGAGACTGGCTAGGCCACTCCAGGACTTTCAAATGCTTCTTACGGAGCCACTCCTTTGTTGCCCGGGCGGTGTGTTTTGGATCATTGTCATGTTGGAAGACCCAGCCTCGTTTCATCTTCAAAGTTCTCACTGATGGAAGGAGGTTTTGGCTCAAAATCTCACGATACATGGCCCCATTCATTCTGTCCTTAACACGGATCAGTCGTCCTGTCCCCTTGGCAGAAAAACAGCCCCATAGCATGATGTTTCCACCCCCATGCTTCACAGTAGGTATGGTGTTCTTGGGATGCAACTCAGTATTCTTCTTCCTCCAAACACGACGAGTTGAGTTTATACCAAAAAGTTCTACTTTGGTTTCATCTGACCACATGACATTCTCCCAATCCTCTGCTGTATCATCCATGTGCTCTCTGGCAAACTTCAGACGGGCCTGGACATGCACTGGCTTCAGCAGCGGAACACGTCTGGCACTGCGGGATTTGATTCCCTGCCGTTGTAGTGTGTTACTGATGGTGACCTTTGTTACTTTGGTCCCAGCTCTCTGCAGGTCATTCACCAGGTCCCCCCGTGTGGTTCTGGGATCTTTGCTCACCGTTCTCATGATCATTTTGACCCCACGGGATGAGATCTTGCGTGGAGCCCCAGATCGAGGGAGATTATCAGTGGTCTTGTATGTCTTCCATTTTCTGATGATTGCTCCCACAGTTGATTTTTTCACACCAAGCTGCTTGCCTATTGTAGATTCACTCTTCCCAGTCTGGTGCAGGTCTACAATACTTTTCCTGGTGTCCTTCGAAAGCTCTTTGGTCTTGGCCATGGCGGAGTTTGGAGTCTGACTGTTTGAGGCTGTGGACAGGTGTCTTTTATACAGATGATGAGTTCAAACAGGTGCCATTCATACAGGTAACGAGTGGGGGACAGAAAAGCTTCTTACAGAAGACGTTACAGGTCTGTGAGAGCCAGAGATTTTCCTTGTTTGAGGTGACCAAATACTTATTTTCCACCCTGATTTACGAATAAATTCTTTACAAATCCTACCATGTGGATTCATGGATTTTTTTTTCACATTCTGTCTCTCACAGTTGAAGTGTACCTCTGGTGCAAATTACTGACCTCTGTCATCATTTTAGGTGGGGGAACTTGCACAATCGGTGGCTGACTAAATACTTTTTTGCCCCACTGTATGTGAAAATGCTGGAAAAAGCAAATAAGGCAAAACTAGAAAGTACCACAACTCCTAAATATTCAGAGTATGAATTTTGCATGGTATCATTAAATATGGTAAAGTTATTGTACGATAATTGTAAATAATTTCTTTCTGAGGGAGTCAAGAGGGAATTCTTTTAGATTTGGTAGATTTCATATGAAGTGACCCATAAAGTTTCCATATGTAGGAAATAACACATAACAGAACTGGAAAATGTCAGTAAGTAAGAAGTACATAGTGTTCACATGGACAATATCAGACAGTATACCTTGAAAACTGTGAATGACGTCTGCTGACCATTAGTCTGACCCTCAGGAATGGTGAGTACCATTTAACCACCTCCATCCGTTTCATCATCTGCAGTTTGAAAGCATAGAGTAAAAATTTATCCTGCAGTCCAACTTCAATTTAATTTTTTTGCTGTTTCTTTTATTCACACTCCTGACTCAGTAAAATATGGAAGCTTTTTTTAGGACAATCAAAACAAAAGGCCAACAACACACCCAATAAGACTTTTCTTATGCCAAGGCCATTATATTTAAATAACCAATAAATATATACTAAAAACAAACTTTAAAAAAATATTTTTTAAAGTAATAAAACAACAGCAGCAAATGGATAAAAAAATAATAGTAATTTAAGGTGTACTTACTATAAAGACGGCTCAATTTTCTGTCAGAAATGCTTTAAAGTCTTCGAATGTTGGGATTCTCGGTAAGACTGATCACAGATTCTGCTCCAACACAGCAACCTATGCTCAGCAGTTCATCCTAACTTTACACTCCTAGGACGAGCTTTATCACACATCTTTACAATTAAGCAATGCCAAGATAACTAATTATGTCTTTATAAGTAATGTTGTCATCAAGATTCTCCAGCTCTGTGCACACCAAACACAAACGTGCAAGTTGTTACACGTCAAACGCCATTTCGCTTCTCGTGATTGAAGCTAAATGTTTCAGCACTGCTGCCCCCTGTTGGGCAACTCTACATAGCTCAAGGTTAATATGCATTAAGCGTGGGGTTTAAAAAAAACATTTTTTTGGCTTATGCGCTTATACTCACCTAGCCTTCACGTTTTATTTTTAACTCATTAATAACCCAATACTATACATATATATATTGATAATCCCATTATTAAAAATATATTGTAAGTGGCCTGTGGAATAATTCTGGTAATGAAAACCTCTGGTTACATTTAGTGTGACTCTTTGTAAACATCCTAAAGTTTTAAATCTTAAGTTTCCATCTTCATATAAGACTTTTCATATATTTTCTTAGATGTCCTTAGGTTACCTGTTAGCTTGTTACCACCGCTGATTCTTAATCCCTAGCATATCCACCCTTAACATCAAAGTCATCAAATTGATCTTTTTCGTGCATTTTTAAACATCCTCATTCAAATTTCTGTACTTTTTTTTCTTCCATTAACTTCTTTGGCTCATTTTTATTCTCCTCTTTGTGCCTAGCTACAATACCACAATTTCCTCCTCAGGAAAATTTCCAGTGTACCATTCTCTACCTTCGTAAGAAGAGCTTACGAGTCAGCGGTGTTACTGATGGTTGTGAAGAGAAAGCTGAGCTAGAAGTTGAAGCTTTTAATTTACCAACTGATCAGGAAGAGTAACTTGGACATGCAGAGGAAGCTCAGAGCAGCCACCCCACCTTCCCATCCAAAACAAATCAGCTAAGGTGGTTTGGGCATCTGATGAGGACCTCTCCTGGATGACTCCCATTGGATGTTTTTCTGGCACACCTAACCCAGAGATCTGTCTGGCATTCGGCATCCCCCAGGAGGAAGGGAAAAAGCTCTGACTCGACTTCAGATAGCTGGATAAAAATGGATGGATGACAACAAAATCTCAACAGGCTTAGGAAAATTCAGTATTTAATGAGAACACGTTTTCATAGTTTCACTGTAATTCTTTGATACACCGACAAGTGAAAGTCTCAATTCCTGTACAAAATACATCAAACAAATGTTTTTCCATCCTTTTACTCTGACATCAGTCGATTAGTTAAAATATAAAAGCCCCATTATGATTTCCTTTAGGTCATTACTTAAGACTTAACATTGCAGTACAATATTACTGTTACAATTTAGAGAATAGACATAAATATAAATTGTTTTGCAAAATCTGCAAACAGAACATTAAAATCGCCAATTTTTCCTGCTAGTCTTAAACAAAGGAAATACCTCTGGTGTTTCTAAAACAACTGACACCAAGATTCCCATCCCATCTCAATTTTTTTTAAAAACAAAACAACAACAACAAAAAGTCAAGACGAATACAGAAATGTGATCAGTAAGTTTTGGTGGAAAATGTACACTGTTTACAAAACTGAAAGGAGGACTGACTGCAGCGTCAAATCAAACTGTGACGCAAACCCTTCATCCTGCAGGGTTTTCCCAGTGCTGGTACGAGACCACACGTCCGACTTTGCCACTACTGTCCAAGTACCCGAGTTGCACGTTTGTGATGTCACACACATTATCGGCGTCTGAAGGCGCGTGAGATTCTCCAAGCGTTGGGCTCTTCGTAACGGTTGTACAGGGGCTCGAGGCGCTGCTGTTTCTTCTGCTTGCTGAGGCGGGTGGGGTCGGACACTTTAAAGAAGGCAGGTGCGAACTCCACCAGCCAGCGAGGGTCGATGGTGGTCACCTCACGCATGTACTCCTTTGTAGTCAGCACCAGCTCGTGGTACACAACCCTATCGACAAAGAATTTGAGAAATCAGACAGTGCTCAACTTGCAAGAAAGATTTACTTCCTCTTTCGCTGTGGCACAGTAAAAACTGAAATGCTGACATACCACTCAGGCTGCCGGTTGAACAGAGCACTGGAGGGGTGGATGTAAACAACTTGCTGGTCTATCAGGGTTCTGTAGCCCTCCTGAGGATCTTTTTTGGCCGCATTCCTGAAGAAACCACTGCAGATGGCTTTCTGGACTCGCACAGTAGCTTTACCACAAGATACTACATCCAGTTTATGTCTAGAGAGAAAAGAACATGTTAAATCTTTCTAAGCAATATAATTTCTTGTGCTACCGTTAGCATTTAAAGTGATTTTTGATTTTTAGTATTTAACATTTTGGCTCTAATGTACCTGTCCATGATCCCCAGCATCTGTTTGCGGATATCCTGGGCTCTGCGCAGGGAGCGAGCCTGGATGAAGTTCTCGTAGCACCAGGGGTTGGAGAACTTGTTGTTCTTCCAGGAGTTGTAGACAGCTAGCAGGGTGAGGTGATCGCCCTCAGGTTGGTGGAACTTTGCCTTCTTCTGGTCAGCCAAGGCCTGCTTGTCCTTTAACACAAAAAATGGGGGGGGGGGAATCATTGAATTCAGAATACATTTCAAAATCTTTTACTATAAAAATGTTAAAAACATCACAAACACTCAGCTGCAGCTCTCATAGCCACTTTCAACATTTGTAAAGTTTTTATGAAACTTTGCATTTTCAAGTTTAAATGTTTCTAAACACATCTGAAGTAAATAAGTCCTGAGGTTGCTAAAGATTTCCCAGAAGTGTTCATTTCCACTGGACATCCACTAATCTGTATAAAGTGGCCTTGATCTCAACTTAATGCAGTTAAACCGTAGTGGATTCAATGCTCCATTGATTCAAAGGAAGCGCTACCACAACACATTGCATGACTGCTTACACAGATAAGGAATGAGATGTGTAGAAATGACTGGACGGTGTTCAAAGCATACCTTAGGCCTGTAAAAGACATTCTGCACAGACAGCATCGACACGATTGTGAGCATCTCTTCGCTGCAGCCCAGATGGACAGACATGATCAGCATCTTACACAACATGGGCTCCAGAGGGAACTCAGCCATCTAGCAGACACAAACGCACAGGAGATTAAAAGTCTTATCAGAATAACAGAAAGACAAGAAGTTAAAGAAAATACAGCTACATAAATCTGATTACATGTAGATTTATCTGCTCTTCTTTGCAGCAGAGAGAAACCATTGGGTAAAAACATCCTTACCCTTCGACCCAGTCGTGTGAGTAAGCCTTCATCGTCCAGAGCTCCTAAGGTGTAGAGCTGCTCCATGGCTGTGATCAGAGTCTCCATAGGAGGAGCGTCCATGAAGTCAAAAGACAGCAGATCATTGATGCCCATTGCCTGGAGGAGTCAATATTAATATGAACGTTAGTGATCTGAAATGTTAAAGCAGAGGTCTAGTTTACTTCTCCTGTCTGTTAGTTGTTTTGTTTTTTTAACTCGTTTAATTTCTTCTTCTCAATAACGCAGGATGTCATCCTATGCATGATAAGAACTGAAGGACAACAGCTCCTACCTTCAGCGACAGCACAGTGCTGGCCAAGTTGGTTCTCTGGATTTCAGGTACATTGGTTGTCAGCATCTCATCTCTGTAGGCTCTCTCAGTGTACAGCCTGTAACACTTTCCAGGGCCTGTTCTGCCGGCACGACCTGCCCTCTGCTTAGCCTGAGCCTGGAGCAAATACAATAAAGAGTTTTATGTCACCATAAATCATTTTGAAACACTAATGCCTTCAGCGAGGCTCTAAGAGCTCCTTTGCTACAACATCAAGTACATCACAAAGCCGCTGTACCTGTGAGATTGGCGTCACCACCAGCTGATCAATGCCAGTCTTAGAGTTGTACACTTTCTGCTTGACAAAGCCTGGATCTACAACATAATAGATTCCATCGATGGTCAGAGAGGTCTCTGCAATGTTTGTGGCGATGACAACCTGAGAGAAAGAACAAAGGACATTATATATTTGCTCTGAAGCAACAAAATATCCTGAATTGACTTTACCCATGTCAATATAGGGCCACAAAAATACTAAACACACTGACTAAATCACTGAAACCTATTATCTGAACCAAACTTTTAGTTCTACAGACAAATGAAAAGGGACAGTTACACAAATTGTAATCTTTGAACAAAACGAATGTTATATGTTTCTATAGATTCTAAAGATTTACTGAAAGTACCTTTCTGCTGCCTGGGGGTGCTGGGTCAAAGATTCTGGTCTGCATCTCACTGGGCAGGGCAGAATAAACTGGCAGAATGATCAGCTCAGGAACATCAGGCCCAAGAGACTTCATTCGCTCATAAAGGATCTCACAGGCTGTGTCGATCTCCTCCTGTCCAGTTAAAAACACCAGGATGTCTCCTGCAAAGGAAGAGTCACAGTAAGATGGATGACATGGACTGATACTAGAGTCCAAAGGTGGAAAGAACATCCATTTTTCATGACTTAGAGAAAAAACATACCTGGAGGCTCAGTCAGATGAATCTGCATGACAGTGATGAGGCTGGCATCCAGGTAGTCCGTCTCAGGTTCTTTGGTGTAAAGAACCTCTACTGGATACGTTCTGCCGGGGATGGTGAAGATGGGTGCTTCATAGAAATACTGAGAGAACTTCACAGCATCCAGTGTAGCTGATGTCACAATAAGCTTCATGTCTGTGCGCTTCTGTACAGTCTGACAAACACAAGAAGAGACACTCAGAATCCCTTTTGTCTCTGATTCTCCATTAAGTCAGAGATTAAATGTAGGAAACCTTTGCTTACCTTCTTGAGGAGGCCAAAAAGAACATCAGTGTGGATTGTCCTCTCATGAGCTTCATCTAACATGATAATGGCGTACTGGCCCAACTCTGAGTCAATCAAACACTCTCTCAATAACATACCGTCTGTCATGTACTTGATCACAGTCTCAGGACTTGTGCAATCCTCAAAACGGATTGTGTAGCCCACCTGGAAAACACAAAAAGATAAGTCCCAATGAGATTAAGCAAAGCTGCAGTGTGCAAAAGGTGCTCAGTAATTATATACTGTAACACGATTGCACTTTACTCAAGATCAGAAATATTTAACTCACCTCTTGTCCCAGACAACAACCGTACTCCTCAGAGACTCTCTTAGCCACTGACATGGCAGCCACACGACGGGGCTGCGTACAGCCAATCTTCCCCCTGGCTGTGTAACCAGCCTCTGCCAGGTACTGGGTGATCTGTGTGGTCTTTCCAGATCCCGTCTCTCCAATGACGATCAGGATCTGGTTGTCGTGAACAGCCTGCAACAGATTAACAAGGACACAGCAACAGTTAGTAACTGGTAAACAAAAAGCATTCATCCTTATTTGGGTTTCTTTTTTTTTAGAGGGAATAACAGAGTTTGTTGGGGGTGTTATATTTTACTTCGTCAGAACCAGAAGAAAGAAGACACCAGCTAAAAATCTGGTCATTAACATTACTAAAAGCTCAATTAACCAAATCATCAACATCAAGGACCAAGTTAATGTAAAACATTTTAAGAACTTGTACATACCAACTTGAAAATGTCATTACTAAATCTTAGAAAAAACGTGAAAATATCCTCTTTAGGATAGCTATTTGTTATTAGACTTGCACATGTCAATATTTCCACCCCACTGGGCTGAAGCTTTGTGGATTTTTGTATTTTGAGGATGTTTTTAGGCTGAGGATGTTTTAGTATTTCATAAGTTTTTTATTACACAACATACCCTGAAACGCTCAAACTATAAATGACCATATTAGCCCAACAGTCAGATTGAGCAATCTAAACTTTCAAAGTCCAATTTTAGTCATTTCTTTTCTTTTTAAAGGCCATTTATAGGTGAAAGCGTCTGCCTAGGACGTTTAACAACCTGCAGCCATCTTTGAATAGATTCAGTTAGAAACCAATTTTTGAAACGTGAAACTAAATCTCAGAAATTTCTCCCACTGAGTTTAAACTGTAATGAACCTGAATGAGCTGCTCTTTCAGCTTGTAGATGGGTAGGCTCTCTCTCTGCTCCAGGATAGAGAGTTGGGTCTTCTTTCCATAGGATGCCTTGTTCCCTCCAAACGCATGTTTCTTCCACTCTGGGATGTCATTGGGCATCATGCCAATGCCTCTCATGTTAGCGGCAATCTGTCGACCATCAACTGTAAGAGAGAAGAGGAAATATATCTAGCTTTACAACTCAAGTTTGACCGTATATTAAGCTACATCTCTGTTGGGTTGGCAGAATAATGCCCACCAGTGGAAGCCATCTAGACCACCTTGTGCTTAAGGAGGGCACACAGGCACACTAAACCATGACAAGACTATTCCGGCCAGATGGGGGGCGGCAGGAAACCAGATAACTATCTCCAGTACCGGCAAGCCTGAGGGGTGCTGTCTGCCAGCATGGAGGAAGTGTCGTGTCTGGGCTGTGGTTTTTAATAAGCAGGGCTAGCATACATTCTACAGTGCTACATTAATTTAAAGCTAATCCAAAAGCAAAGATAAAATATTGTCCAATAACATCTGAAAACCCAATTTAAGATACTTCCTCATGCCATGATTGCAGATGTGTTGCTCAACAAACTCCTATTTAGCAATAGTTTAAAACTGATTTAATGAGGACGTCCAAAAGATTTCTAACCATCTGGCAGCGGGTCAACCCAGTGTTTGTTCAGCCCCATGGGGATGGAGTCCATCTCTGCTTCCCGCGCCGCCTGCTTCAGTTCTCGTCTCTCTTTTGCCAGAGCACTCTGCATCATGGCTGCCTGGGACAGCGAGCCATCTGGATTCTATGAAGAGCACAGGAAGAGATCATAATTAAATACCGTATAAATCCTTAAATCCAAATTAAACCACATACTGTATTGCTCTGACTATAAGATCACTATCTGCAGGAGATGGTGTTTTATGCACCAAGTTGTGCCTTTTCCTGAATCAGTCCATGGTGATATATTACAGAAACTCATTTACTTCATAACATTAAAAATTTATAAACTCATCCATCTTTTTTCACCATTCTTGCTCAAGGCTGTGGTTAAGCTGGTTGGAAAGGTTCACCAGTCTATCCCAGCGCTGACACAACCACTCACACCTACAGCCAACTCAGCATTACCAATTGACCTAATCTGCATGTTCCACTGGGAGGAACCTAGAGAGAACCCACGCAGGAAACACATGCAAATTCCTTACAGAAAGGCTCCAGCTGGCCAATGGATTCAAACCAGGGACGTTCTGTTTGTTTGACTGTCGAGATGTTTAAATTTAACTATTAAATATAAACAAGAATATTTCGCCAGAATTATAATATAATTAATTCAATTTATAAATCACAGCAGGGTGCTGGAAAACTTTATGGCCTGATCATTTTTTGAAAATTTACTCCTAGTTTATTCTTTTTTTCCTTTCACTCAAACTTCTACTGTTACCTTGACAATCTTGACAGGGCTCATGTCCATGCTTTGCTTCGTGTGGCCTCTCAGAAACGGTGGTTCCTCTTCAACCAGCTCAATTTCCAAGTCTTCATCTGTATGAAATGAAACCAACCAGTTAGCAATCAGGTCACACTTAGTCATGGTTCACATGAACAAGAGCTAACCCTAACTCAAATATACAAGATGGTATTAAATATTTATGCTTAATGCTAAAAAGCTGAAACTGTTTAAATACTTGATGACTGTTTTATTAAGTGCCTTTACTAGCCTGAATTACTCATTTATTAAAGCAGTTCAGTCATAGACAAAACAATTTCTTACCCTCTTCATCATCAACTTTAGGAAGGATGCCTGTCTCATCATCAAAATCAGGAAATTCTTCTTTGGACAAAACATTGGCAGCAATCATCTGAGGATTTTAACAAACACCTTTTAAAATCAGATAGATGCACAGACATAAACGAAGCTTCAGCCACTTCAAATGTGAACCCACCTGTTTGATCTCCCACTTCTCTGGGTCTGAGATTTTGGTGAGCCTCTTGCGCTCCAGTGTGTCATCCTGTTCCAGCTCCGGCGCGTGGCCGAGGTTCAGGTTGCTCGGCCGATCAGGATTCCTCATGGAAATTTCCTCCCCCCCGTCGGGGCCAACGTTCCTCCTCCTGTTGGGGTTCAGGTCTTCTCCAGTCTCCTGGTCTACATCCTGGCAAACAGAGGAGGAAATAAAAACGTTCCATTATCTGTACCCGGAGCTCAGATACAACGGCTGAAAAATCTCAAGGAAAATTTGATTTAGTTCCACTGGCTGAAACTCACCAGAATGAATAAATACATACATTTATAATATAATAAATGTGAAATTAATTAAGCACAAATTATTTGATAAAAATCGTATTTCTTCAGGCAGGATCAGAAGGAAGACATCTGAAAACTTCCTTCACTTTAACACAGAAAATCTCTACTTGCTTTATTAAAATCAACTGAGCACCACACTGTTATGTTTTGTTTTTTTACCTTCATACTGAGGCTGGTCTTGGACCCTGTGAATGAGAGCACCTTGACTTTGACTCTTTGGCCTTTGCTAACAACGTCGGCCACGTTGGCCACACGGCCCTCCCTGCGCAGCTCAGAAATGTGGACCAGACCCTCCCATCGCTTCCTAGAAATTGAGAAGATGATCATGGACAACTTTAACAATGAAATAAGAGACAGGACAAAAGCGGAGACATCTCTAAATAGTATGCACTGAAAACATCTTTAGTAACCAGCAGACCCCTTTAAAACTGAAGGTATATTTATACAATGTTTGCGACCTTATACTAACCTGAGTCCCTCAAGCTGAACAAAGCATCCAAACTGCATGATGCTGGTAACCTTTCCATTGTAGATATCACCAACAGAAGGTTCCTCAGGTGGAGGGCGATCCACGTGTTTGTCCTTCCAGCGGTCAGACTCTCTCTCTTGGTCTTTTCTCGGACTAGGTGAGCGCTCAGACCAGCGGGAAGATTTGTCTCTTCTCTTGCCACGGTCTCTATCTCTATCTCTATGCCGATCACGGTCTCTGGAGCGTGACCTGGATCTGGAATAGGATCTGGAACGATGCCGTCTCTTTCGGTCCTTTTCCCGATCTCTGTCTCGATCTCTGTGTCTGTCTTTTTCTCTGCTTCTGCTGCGACTTCGCCTGTTTTTTTCTGATCTACGAGAGGAGAAGAGCCAGAAATACATAATACAATAAACACAGCAATAATATCCTGAATTCAAACAGCCGTCGCAAGTTTGCTAGTTGGAGCACAGGTATCAGAGATTTAAATAAACCCAACATGACAATGAAATGTGACCAGTGACTTGAGTCTTACCTGTTCTTGCTCCCTTTGGACTCTGTCCCACTGACACTGGGCATGAACATTTCCAGTTCCTTCATGGCATCAGCTGCTACTTTAACATCATCTTCATCCAGGAGAGCCTACGAAGTTCAGTATAACAAAAATCAGTCAACATAAATTGGTCAATGTTTCTATTGCCTACCTACAAGCATCAATACCACATTTGGTATTTTGTGTATATATTGTCAGTATATATTGTATTATCATCGCAGTTTCTTAAAATATTGTAATTTTGAGGCTGCATCTCCTAGCTGTACTGCCAACACCAGCCCTTTCATATAAACACCAAAAGGAAAATCCTGGGTTCACATATCAAAATGATAACCAGCTTAGTGACACCGCTTAACCTGATTGCCAACAGAAGACACCCTGTGTGTGTTTAGATCGTTTCTTTGTACAGGGCCCATGTGTACAAGCTTGTTTTGCAATAAAGATAATGTGGACACTGCAGCTTCATGACAATGTGATAAAGCCACACACCTTCGGTGCAGGCTCATTTGGTCTACACAGTGCAGGAAACATCTCCCTCAGCTTTTCCTTTTCTGACTTCGGCTTAGCCACGGACTCGGATGCTGGAAGAGGAGCACACGGTTAGAAATGTCACTTTTAAGGAGTAAAATATGTCCTTGGGACCATTAGCTGCCCAGTTTACAGTTAGCCTAACTACTTTACCTTTACTTGTAGATGCTTTGGATGGTGGTCGCATCGTCTGAATGAGCCTGAGCAGATTACTGATGAGAGAATCCTACAATAAGCGAAGAAAACGTTAATGTTTAGTTGAATAACAATGAGCTTCATGAACAACTCGTAGAGACTAACTTACTGTGAATTCGGCTCCATTTTCGAGTAAAAGTGCTTTGAATCCATCAAAGCTCGGTTGTTTTTCGGCAAGGCTGATGACAAATTCAGCTATAAAGGAACCACAAACAACACATTAACGAAGAACTACATGAGACTCATAACTGTCGAAGTTTATATCCCAGCATTAAAAAGTGACCCACAACGAATTTATTGAATGATTAGTATGTAAAGGTTTTTTTAAATCTAGTAAACGGCACAATACATCCAAAAAGAACTCATATGTTTACAGTAAATACAGATGCTAGTTTGCTAACAACCGCTAGTTAGCATAAGCTAGCTAGCTAGTTTTGGCAGAAGGCGATTTTTAAAGGCATAAAATACGTACCTAAATCTTTGTCATTTATTCCCAGGTGATTGTCAAGCTCCGTGCAGACTTTCGACACTAAAGACAGATATTCGAGCTGCGATAGCTCGTCGACTCCGATGTCTGCCATCGTCCACGAGTTGTTTTTGTTCACACAACGTAGACGCCGGCAGACATATTGGATATGGGCAACATCCCCTTCCGCCCTTTACGGAAACACTTAGTAGAGTTCAAGGTCTGGCTCCTACTTGCCACACGATGGCACTCAAAACCCTCACAATAAATTTGAATTGAAACGTCTCCACCACAGATGTCTTCACATGTGGGGTTTTCATTTCATGTCGTTTGCAAGAGGTTTGCCAGTTCTTAGCCCATATGCTTTCCTCCTTATTTTGCCTTTTGTGCTTGTTTTATAAACTGTATATGGTTTATTCGTGCAAATGTTTAATACGTTATTTTTTGCCACAATATAGATGATAAATTGACTTTTTTTTCATGTTTTATGTTTTTTCTTCTCAAGTGGCGAGAAATGAAAAAATAAAGCCAGCACCAGCCCCTCTTATGTTCAATTGAGGTTTCTCTGAAAGCAAGTTAATGCCCATAGACTCCTTTATTAAAGCATCTAAACTTCGCTTCATTAAAAAAAAGCATGTTTAGAACCTAACACCATAAATGAATTTGGTATGTAATGAGTTAGGTGCGGCTGTTTTGACTGACAGGTGTGCTGACACAGGGAGCTGTAGCTGACAATTGTCTTCTGTGCTTCACCCCCACTAATCTGAGGCACTGAAGTGAACCTTTCACCAGTGAACCTTTCTCTATGTTGTGAACTTCTTTCGGCCCATTTTAGTACAAATATCACAAGAATCTGGTACATTGTTTTGGTGAGTGAAATTCTAGTATATAGCTGTTCTTTGCACCCATAAAGTGAATAAATACAGCATGATGACAGGTAAATATGAACACATCTGGCTACAAATATCAACAAAAAATGGGCAAAATCCTAAAGATGAGGCTTTGAAATGCAGATCCAAAAACCAGTGGGTGATGTTATGATGATGGGCCATAACTTGGGATGCATTTTAAAACATAAATGTCTGTTGTTGCCTTGTTGCATAAAAAAAACGTTGCAGTGCAATGAATAATTAATTGCCACTGATGAGTGCAGGGTATTTGAAATGATAAAAGAAAGCCTCAACCCTGCTACTAATGGTATGTGGACAGGTATAGTTGCCGTCTTGACTTTTATGGTTTTGGCCAGAGAATGTAAAGGCACTCCTCTGTTTCAGCACGTCATGCACATACCCAGTCCATTAAGATAAGGTTTTTTATGCTTAAGTAGCGAGCAGCCCTTACCTCATCCCCATCCAACGCATTTGCATGAAATTGCAAATGCTTGTGGGAACTACTCTCTGCAGTTAGATCTTTACACAAGAGCAGAGGCTGCTAGAAAATGAACGACCAGTGATTTGGCATGAAATGTTCAGCGACCGCACATATAAAAATTTAACCTCCTAGGACCTGGTGTCCACATATGTGGACATCACATTTTGGGTTGTCTAGACCAAAATACAAAATTTTGCTCTACCAGGGCCTGATATCTACGTACGAGGCCATTATACTGCTACTGTTCTATCAAAATTTAAAATGAATGTCCTCATATGTGGCTCTCAATTTTCTCAGAAACAAAAGTCAGGGAAAGAAAAAATCTGGTAATTCTTTGTTTTTACATTCATCAGGTCCCAATCAGCCCAAATAGAAAAGAGAAATTAAAAATGCATGCCATAAAAGAGTTCGGGTCTTAGGAGGTTAAAGATTACCCACATGCACTGTATGCTGAACTATGTGTATGGGTCATGAGAAGCAAAGTGATTTGCAACAGCAAGAATTCAGTTTCTAGTAATGAATCATGCTGTGCAATCATGAACGTTTAAGCAGTTTCACGCTATGACTTTACTTCTGTTTTTGTTTCTGCCACTGTCGCTGATTCATAGTTCTTTACCCACTAACTGTTTTATCTCTTGTGGAGTCTTGAGAACGTTTCACTGAGGTAAAGGTGCAAGGAAAATCAAGACTGTATGTTGTATCACCTGCATCTTAACTTACTGCAAAAAGCTATGTTTATATGATAAATTAAGGTATGCACTGCACAGGAGATAACCTTCCTCGTCTACTCCTTGGATACCTCCCAGCTTTGATCTCATGACTGATAAATCACCTGCAGTCTTATAGCTCTTTTAAACCTCAGCTTCGCTCTGCAGAACCCTTTGTTTCTCATTCTCACTCATATATGCGCCCCAAAGGGGGCAGAGCTCCCATGTAAGCTGCTCGTTTACCATTGGGAAAAACCCGGAGTTCTAAGTTTTACCCAAGGACACTTCGGCACAGGGTGGGACCAGAGATCGAACCGCTAACCCTGCGATTAATGGACACCCCACCCATCTTATGAACCCTAGTGCATGTTCACACACACACACACACACACACACACATACATACACCACCACCATCTGTCTGTTTACACATTTCCCTCAGTTGGTGTCTAGTTGGCTCCCTCCTCACAAGCCTCCCGCCTGTAATCTCCTTATTAAAATCAATCCTCATTACCATTCATAAACACACTACTTATTTCACACACCACTTTAATCCTGATTAAGAGCCTTGTTTTCACATAACATCCACATAACTTCTGACATTTTATCATTTTTGAAAAGAACATTATCTCCCAATGTGTTTTGCCGTGTCAGACGAGTCCTGAATTTCACTCATGTTTGATCTTTTTTTTTCCTTTTACTTCACTTGACATTTCTGCCATCACATCCTTCCATTTGTTCCTGTAGTATGACTTAGCCAGAAAGGGATTCTCATGGAGAATCTCCCATTGTAGCAGTCTGCTTTCCTAATAAATCCCTCATGATCTTTTGCAAGTCAGTTTCTCACACTGTTCAAAATGCAATCTGGAATTTATTTCACTGTTTATCTCTTTGGTACTGTCTATGCTGCCAAAAGTTCAAAGCATGTACACAGCGCAGCCAGAAATGTGTGGACACCTGAACATTACACCCATGTGTGATTGTAAAAGATCTCATTCCAAAGGTATGGGCATTAATCTACTGGAACAATGTCCTCCAATCTTCAGGGACAGGCTCAGATTCTGCCACAATAGTATTAGCGAGGTTGAGCATGGAGGTAGGGTGATAAAGTCTCACTAACACATAGTGCTCTGATTCATCCCAAGGCTTCTGAATAGAGGTGAGGTCAGAAAATCTGCATCTGGCTTTGCATGCTATGCTATTGTCATGTTGAAACATGCAGTTGGCACTTATTTTTCTAAAGAGCCCTTACTTCACTTTAAAGCATGGGTGTCAAACTCCTGGCCTCGAGGGCCGGTGTGCTGCAGGTTTTAGATATCACCCTGTTTCAACACACCTGAATCAAATGATTAGGTCATTACCAGGCCTCTGGAGAACTTCAAGACAAGTTGAGGAGGTAATTTAGCCATTTGAATCAGCTGTGTTGGATCAAGAACACATCTAAAACATGCAGGACACCGGCCCTCGAGGCCTGGAGTTTGTGAGCTAATGGGTATGTTCAGTAAGGAACACCAGTAATCATGCGTCTGTGTGGTATCCTGTGTGTTCAGGCTACAACTCTATTCTTTACATTGCTTCTTCTTTCACACGCTTTCAAACTCAGTACTGACACCATGTCTTGGTACATGCTTAAGGAAGGAAATCTGAGAAAGATGATTTTGTTCATGTAGACGTAGTGTTTTCATTTCATCTTCTCACACTGAAAATGTTATGTCGAGATGGACAGAATCGACTTTATGGGATCAGTAATGGCACCATTACTCTAAACCAGTCCTTTTCTTGCCCATCTTCTGTGAGCCAATAAGCCTCTTTCCTGTGTGCTTCAGTAATCTCAGTACTCTTCTGTCAGTCTGCTTTTAAGAGTATCATTCGTGCATCCCTTTTTCCCATTTCCACCTCTCCCTGGTCATTCAGAGCCTCATTCAAGCCTACATCTTCACCTTTACCAGCACCAACATCTAGACTCTACAGAGATCCTTACCAAAATCCAATCATCGCTGGGACTCAGAACTGCTATGATGATTCAATGGAGTATGATCAAGAAATAGCTTATTAATCATATTTGAATTATTACTAAGCTTATTAATTAGAATCAAATGTTAATAAACCACATTTCAAAGCATCTCGATTTATCGAACTTCATATAAGAGATGAGTGCACTTTCTAAATCTAAAAAGTGAAGTCAGTGCGATACTGCCTTAAACTGTCATTTTTTTCGACTACTCCAGTTGCAATGACATTTCAGGTAGTGTAGAAGTTATAGGAAAATGGCACTTGTCTCCCATAAGACTATGGGCTTAGTGCTGGTTCACGTTGTCCTGAATATGACAAAGACGGTCCCCATTGCGGATATGTGGGGATGTACTTTGCTGCGTTCTTGCTTCTCATGCAGATCTGCACCACACTCACCAACAATGACAACAGCAACAACAACAGAAAGTCAGCTTAGGGCTTCATTAAGGAACTTCACTAATCGGGAACTTCACAGTGACTACACCCATCTTTTATACAGTTGATGCTGTTGCTATTTAAAGCTTGTTAGCGAACACAATGTCTCTTGTTTGTTTAATCTAAATACTCAGATGACAGTTTATGCTTTCAGGGCAAGTTAAGTGCTGTAACTATTTCTTAGTGAATAGGTGCAGCGACTCTCTGGAGTCTTGTTACAATCATTTATCAACTATTCAACTATTGTTTGTTGGTGTTTTTAGATGCTTTAAGGAGAGATGAAATCGCTGTTTCCAAAATGTTTTCCAAGCTCTGTAAGATGAATGTCTTCATGTCAAAATATTTTTGGTATAGCAATGAGTAAATCCCTCATCAATGGTGTCCTGCTTATCAGAGACAGCAGCCTAACCAAGATCTAATCTCTCCAGCATGTCCTGGGGCATCCTTCCAATAGAACATGCCCAGAACCCCATGGGCTAAGGCCCAGCCACCAGGCACTCTCCCTCAAGCTACATCCCCAGGCCTGGCTACAGAGTGGTGCCCTGGTAACCCTATACTGGGCAGGATAAACTGGTCCCATGATTTTTTCTTTTTCATGGGGGTCCTCTAAATCACTCTTTGTCTGGCCCCCCACCAGGCCAGTTTGCCCCAGGAAACACTGTCAGGG